CAACTTCGAACGATTTTAATGTCCTTCGAATACGTTGTTAGGGGCGTGGTTCTGGGCAACTTTTTCCTCTTGCATAATTGACGGAAAGCTTTTGTTTTCGAGATATTAGCGAAAATTGTTGTTAACTTTTGAAACCAACTTCGAACGATTTTAATGTCCTTCGAATTAGTGGCATGATTCTGAACTGGAAATTAAAGATAAAGGTTTGTACTTTATGCTCCTGTAAACAGTATCGCCAAAAAAAAATGTGGCAAGTCCATGCATTTCGTCAAACTTTGTAATTATCAATGTATCAAACATGACCTCCCATTTACAGTGTTATTGTCGTAGAGATGCATCAAATCTAAAATCGACCTACAGGGTCTTAAAGTAGAGATCTCAAGCTTAAATTTAAAAAAAAGAGCATAATTTTATGATTTTTTGTCGGAGTTATCATTAATCAAATTTGGCCAATTTTTACCTAAAATTTTTCTATATTTCTGCCATATTTCTTTTGAGCAGTGTATTATGATGTTTTGTAAAATTTTATATTTTCTTTAAAATAAAATCTTTAGTGTATGTTTTTGTGTGCCCATATTTACTTTATGTCGTTATTATGCTGTGATATTAATAACTATTTATGATAATGAAAACGTATAATCATAAACATCTAAAATCCCATAGAATATTAACGTTCATAATGCTATGTTTCCATAAATAAATCGTTCAAATCTGCCGGTACACAAAGTCCAATTTCAACCTTGCACTTTAATCACAATTCGATCCAGCACTTTTCTTGAATCAGTAAAATTTTCAAATTTACAAATTACAGAAACAGATTACTTAAAAATTTCGTTAGTTTTGAGATCTAAAACTGGCCAGTTTCTATCATTTTCCTCTGTTCATTTGGGCTATGAACTCCCATTGTATCAGAACAACTCACTTTTTACGACGGTGAATACGCACAGTATATTTCAATTATTGTATAACAACGTATTATAATTCAGTCTGCGAGTGATAGACATCAATATTACAATCAAAAGCCGAAATAAGTACTTGATCCCGCACCGAAAGTCTTTGCAAAATATAAAGTAAAGTCCGTAATAACAAAACAAGTACGTCCCGTAGCGACAAATTATAAGTGAAGCCTCGTACCGACAAATATAAAGAATGAAGTGCGGGCCCGGTGCCCTCGCTTATTTTATACGTTTCACTCCCCTACGACGTCTCCTAGCAACCACCCGATTTCTTCGAAATCTGCCACGTGCCCTCCGTCGACCTTGGCTTCGCGGTCATCCCTCTACGACCGATCCTTGCGATGCCGCCCGCCCTTTGCGGCCGAGCCGCCGCGCCGCCACGCCGCGCGCCGATACCGATGTCGCGCCGGCACTTGCCGGTACTCGCCGTCAAACGGAGCGGTCCGCGCCTTTGTATTCGTTTTTCGAAAATTACGCATCAGGAGACGTCGCTGAGGAGTGCCTTTCTTTTCTGCCGAAGTGCGCACCTGGGTTTGCCGGCATTTTGCGGTGGATCAAATACTTATTAATTAGCATTTTTCTCGGAATTTCAGAGCATGTGCCACGTGCCACTGCCACTAC